CCAATTTATGATATTTTTTGGCTGTCATAAATTCGTTACACGATAAGTTCATAAGTGTGTATTAGGCTTTTAAAGATAATTTATAAAAGTCTCCATTAAATATAATTTTATATATTTAATTAATGTTACAAATATCATTATATACCATTTTAAGTTCTCAAATTATTTTTTCCAAAACTTACGATACGCAAAAAGAATTTTGTTGCATACTTTTTTAATTTATTTTTATATGAAAAATTACTCTTTTTAATATTTTTCTTTCTTCTTTTAATGCCTTTTCGCTTATATAAATACACATAAAATGCAGACAGAAACTTTTTTTTGTAAAAAAAATGGTTTGGGTAAATATTCTTTTCTGATTTTCAAAATTATTAGTTCCAGTTTACACTTTGATCGAAATAATTAAAGCACACTCTTGGAATCGTATCCTATAGAATTTTCCCAAGTATTGTGAAAGAAGCAAATCTCATTGAAGGGATGGCATCGAGTCGCCATCTTGCTTGATAAAATTGATACTAGGTCTCGTAGATTTTTCTCCTTGGAGCCCTTTGATGACGATGTGTATCCGATTTCACTAAGGATATCCTCCTTTATATTCTTTGATAGTGATCAAAATTGCAACAAAGTTGATTGAAGAGTCGATCATCAAGTTTCTTCAGAAAAGTATACACTACAACGTATCAGTTACAATGCTCGCAATTCTGTCAATATTTTATAATTAATATAATTGCCGCGGCGTTCCTGTTTACTTTGCGTAAATAAGACAAAATTGCATAAATTTATTTTCGTTTGACTGATAAAGCGCCGTAAAAGTTCCTATAATTTAATGGCCAGTTTTAATGGCCGCTTTTATCACTCTTCTGAGACGCTTTAACGTCTTCTTTTTTACTACTCTGTCACATTTATTATTCATACATTCACTATCTGCTTCAATTCAAACCCGCTCTTAAGAAATTTATGGTTAAACGAATTTATAATTGATGTTGATGCATAATTTATATATATGACGATAATGAATATTACTTTTAAATTAGACAAAAAAGAAAATTTATTTAAATTTTTGTTTAAATGTTCTCTTATTCAAATCCGACTCCTTTCGTAAATATTTAATTAGCAAAAATTTTTGCAAAGACTTTTTATGATTTTTAGAAATTATTATTATATAATCTCACTTGAAAATTTTTTATACTTTTAGGATAATTACTATTTTAAACATTAATACATAATTTTTAATTGAAAAAAATTGATTTTGTCATGTTTTTTATTGTATTTTATATTGTCTATTTGTATTGTATCACATGCTATAGAAAATAAAACTTGATATTATTATTTAATTTTTCTTTATCTGCCCTCATACTTGTCGCTGAAATGATTTTATTTATAACAAAACTTAAGTTTTGAAAATGAAACGTTTCTTTTAATTAAATAGGCTAATTAAAAATAAAAAATTAACATTTTATATTTCACTATAAAATAGCTAAATTTATAATATAGGTACAACAGAGACAGCCATTTCCAAACACAATATTCACTTGGATGCGCGGTCGATCGTGCAACTTATGTAGTTACAATTGTTTTCATTCGTTAACATATTACGTCAGCGTGTTCTCGACACCCAGTCCGGAGGTGCGAAAAGTTTCAATAGAGAGTGTATGTTTCATCGATGGGCGAGACATAGGTAAATGATGTGGCAAGCAATGGCGTAACGTCCAACAACGTCAAGCATCGTTCGATTGTTTCAGAACAGTTTGCGATATTTGTTGCTTGTTGGAAACGCATTATGAGGCGTTGATATTTTAGAGGACTATTCACGAGAGGTGGCTGTTAACAGAGATTATTATGGAAAACTTACGATATACGTCCGATGTTTGACATGTGATATCTGATATTCAATAGAAAGATTCGTTTTTCAGAGAGAAAAATCTCGTTAGAATCTGCAGATGTTCCTTCATTGGATATCGGAATGTCAAATATCTGCCATCGCACATAATGTGAATTTTCCATTACACGTACATTTAACGACGAGAAACGTCCGCCATGTGCATTTGATCCTTACTTTCCGAGAATCCTTCGTATTTTGATAAAAAAGAAAATTACCATTCGTATATCGAATGTGTAGTATAAGTTATGAGGGTTGAATAAGGAATGAATTATTAGTACTGTCAGTAGGAAGTTTTAGAATACCCCGAGTACGATATTTCACTTGCACTGCACAGCTGTCGATTAATGCACCTTCGAACCTAGGATACCGTCGAATGACCCAAATCCACTGGAAATTTTACAATCGGATGTCACTGGCATTCCATCGCCATCGGCGACACAATTATCTCTTACAAAATACGATCCACGCTGAAACCAAACTCGATCGCAAGACTTCCCGTGGGCATTCAAACTGCGCATTCGTTTTCAAACGACTTTTATGCTACGTCAAAGCGTTAACTATATTGCTTCTGGCATGCCAAGAAATAATAACGGAACATTTATCGGTTTATATTTAACGCTTATGTATTTGACGCTCGATTTAATGCTTATGTACCTGACGATAAACAAATGGAATAATTCCATTATATTAACAAGTCACGCCACTTTTTTCCTCGGCCCTGAAAATCCTACTTTCCGTTTCGATGAGGGTTCTCGTAAAAGCCCCCCAGGGCTTTTAAAACCACGGGACCTTGTTTACAAGAGAGGTTTGACAGAAACGTGCGCGTAGGATTGGGAGAACTGACATAGATAAATCCTTTTTCGTCTCTCTCTATTTGGTACATCACAAAATTCACAACTGGGATGTCGATTAATCATTATACGACAGACGAACAATGATCACCTTCGTAAATTATTTTACGATTTGCGGATGGAATATTCATAAGAATCTGACGTTCTCTGCTACTCGGAAAAGTTTTAATAAGATCGCACAATACATGTCGCTACGATTTTTCAAATAATTCACGTTTTTCTCATAAAACTCATAATCCCGTATTTACATCTCGCGACAATAAATAATAATACAACAGTAATAAATAATTATTCATTGGAGAAACAGCATATCAAATAAAAAGAATTTTCAACTGTAATATATTTCTTCTGTTAACCCTAATTCAATATTCAAAATTTCTTTATATGAATAGTATTCGCTAGTGTTTTAAATTAATGTATATAAAAAAACATTTGTTATAACAGTTTTCCATATCATAATTGAAAAAAAAAAAACACTTATATTGGACCCACGAATGTCGATAAGAGTTAATACCATCTCACAATGGATTTCTTTTTTATTCAGCAAATGATTAACTTAAATTCTTCATCTTACTGATTCAAATTGCGTTTTTAAACGTCGAAAAGATTGGGCGTAAATTCCTAGACAATAAGTGGCATGCCTCTCGCAATTTTCGTCAAAAACGCCAACTAAACCGTATGAAGAGAAAATAAGAAAAAGAAAGGAGAATACAAGCAAGAATATTGCGCATCTTGTACGCGTCCTAGCAAAACTGAGATGTAAACACGTCGAAATGCCGTAATGGAACGAGAAAACAGAGAAACGACTGAAAATGCACCGAGCGGAAGACAGACGCGGCTCCTAGATATACACATATAGAGATTGCCAAGTAAAGAGAGAGGAATCGGTTGATGGGTACCTCTTGGACACACACAGGGATGAAAGTAGCAAGGGGGTGGGTGAAGCCAAGCGAGAAGGAAACTAGGACGAGAGGTGTTGGCCCAGGATGGGAGTGCGTTGGTACTAGCTCGGGACACTGACACGCCGTCCAGTCCTGCGCAGGAGTAGAGGTGAGGGGGAGGGGGAGGGAAAGGAAGGAGCGAGAGACGGATGGAAACGCGTGGATGGATTCTCACCTCACCGAACGATGCAACCTACTTTGTCGCCCGTTTCATTTGTACGATAAAACGTCGTTCTATCCGTCTATCTTATCAGTTGAGCGGTGATTTCCGTCCAGATGGAATTTTTCATCAGAGCTTTACGCTCGCCGTCTGTTTGTTTGCACGAGTTACATTCCGATTAAAACTTGGCTGTGTTTCGCGCGCGTGCGACGGAGACTTTTCTATATTAAACTAAAATGTTTTTCGTGATAATTAAATATCCTCAGAATTGATTACGCAGAATGGAATATGCTTAATAAGCAAGTTTCTTTGTTCCCGCTGCAATTGACATAAAACTTCCGTTAAATTTCCTTAATCCTCTGTTAAAGTTAAGTAGAGAAGCGTAGCTGTTCCTGCAAGTTCTCGAATACTTTTAAGCTCTCGTTATCTTTTGTTCGAACGCGATGGTCTTCCTACTTTTTTCGCAATCACGCGCGCTAAGGATTGTAATTCCAGCGTTATGCCTCCACGTGCAAGAGCGGGAGGAAAGAGATCATTTCGAGAGATGCAATTCCGTTATGGGGAACGGCCATTGTCCAAAATGGCGAATGATCTCCGTCAAATCTCAACAACAGCTGCCGTTTATGGCATCGCGACACGTCCGGCTGAAAATAGGTTTGTTCCACTTGCGAATATACGTATCGGAAAACCGTCCGTGCTATTGTTCTTGACTTTGTCAACCGTGCAAGGATCCGGTGACACAATTTGAACAGTAGGAGGCCTGACCTTAAGTAGAACTTACTTCATTTACGGGAGAGATGCGAGGGATGATCAAGATGATTTCTAGTTCAGTCTTTATTAGCTTATCGATTTATCTGATGGTTTTACTCCGACATGACGACGAAGACTAGCACTTTAATCTCCTCTGTTTATCCTGGGAACTTGCAACATGAAATTCGGAATCTCATTATCCTTCATCCATCACGTTCAATAACGAAATTCAGTTAATTATTAACGGCTCCAACAAATTCAATCATTTCAGGTTGAAATATTAATGTGCGTGTATACGATCTTTATTAATAAGAATATTTTAACGATATAATTCAGAAAGCTGACTTAATATTTTATTTGAAGCAGAGAACTAACGACGGGGCAAATATTATTTTCACGTGCCGCATCGAATCGAAATGATAATATCGAGCGGCACAACGTGCCAGAATCATCGTTCGGGCTCGTCCTCGATTCCACCGACCTCTCCTTTCCGGAAGGAGCTTAAGGGCGGGGTAAGCTTCGCGTCTATAAAGTCGGCCGCAAATGCACCAAGTCGAGTGGCGGCGGTACGTCGACCGCCAATATCCGCAAACTCGGTCAGTAGGTCAACGACAGATGCATCCGGTGCAGTTGCGTGATCTCGCGGGTATAGAGTAAAGTTCTCGTTCCGCGAGCTAAATCACCTCTATTTCAAACTAAAAAATTTCAAGTTGTTATCAATCAAAAAAAAAAATTTTTCATTTTCGTTCCTCCATTTGGTCCATATTGGTCTCCAATTTTTTTATATTTTTGTTTTTGTACTCTTACACATATTTTAGATTGGCTCTTGCATTCTTGTCAGTTATTACAAAATTCTTTTTTTCATCGATGTTAACATATCTATCGCTTCTATCTTCTTAACGTGTTTTTTTTTTACCTAAATTCTCGTATTAAATTCTCAGAATTATGCAACTGTTATTTAAAAAAATTGGCTCGAAGGGTAGAACAAACATTTCACTTTATATCCGCGAATCCTCGAATATGCCCGTTATACTCTTGCAAAATGACTTCTGGAAAAACCCATCTCGCGATTAATTCGCAAATGAAAACTCGTCCTCTTCATAGGCCACGAGAACGAAGAAATTCGTCAAGCTGGCGCCGTTCAAGCTCCGTTTCTCGAAGATGCTGAAATCGCGCAGTTCCGGCGATAGTCGCAGCAACAGCGTGGAATCCGAGGAACAGCAGCGGCAAATTAATCAGTCGTTGCCGTCAGGTACAGACGAGTTTGCGGATGCACCCGAGACGGAAACGGACAAGAATTGTTTGTCGGTTAGAAACGAGCAAACAATTCCCAGCTCACCTCCACCCTCGTACGAACACGTTCTCGAAGAGGTGAGTGCGCCATACCTCGGATGGAAATTTAATTGATTGTTCTCGCGCGATACACGAATCAAATACCACCCAGTGGGAGACTAAAAAATGTAGTATGGTCGACGTTCTCGATTGCGCCAATCGAGAACTGTTTATCGCAATCAGAGTTCAGTTTCAAGGATTATATGTGTAGCAGATACGCTCGAATAATTCTACCTGGGGCTGCGTATCGGCGAAATGCGAAACATACGGCCTGAAGCGAAGTCGATATCCATGACAATTCACTGATGGAAAATGTAACGAGCGGGATTAACGACATACACGTGGACTGTGTAGTTACCTGTGTGATCCGCCGTGTGATAATTCGCGCCACGTTGTCTGTACTTCGTAATGTAACAAATACAGTCGCGTCACACGTACTGCTACTGCCAGTAGCGATCACTCGTCATAGGATCTATGCTATCAAAGCATTTCATATAGGGGCCGTCCATATACCTATTATGTGAGCAAATTTTTGGCCATTTTTAACTTTCTCCCACCCCCATCATGTAAACAAATGTCAGGATTTCTGAGATCCTCCCCCTCTATAATTACGTAAGATTTTTTTGATATGCTTGATGTAAAATAAAAAAGAAGCTACTTTGCTGATATTGTTAGTAACAATTCGTTTTGGCATAATTTTTTTTCAACGTAATTATATAATTCTTTCAATATTATTATTATATTTAAAAAAAAACATATACGTACTATATGTACGGCCTCATATACGCGTGTAAGATGTTGTTTTACATAATTTTTTATTGATATTATAAAAATTCGGAATCCGACATCTCGAAGTTCAATATTTTTTACCTTTATTTCAATTTTTTTTTAAGTGGTTCTTTAATAAATTGAAGTTATCATAAAAATGTCTAATTTTTTTATATAATGAAGTTGATGTACCGAAATTAACGTGTGCAATATTCTAGAATAGGTTAACGGTAAAATAAGAAAAAAAAAACAACGTTGAAAATGTAATTTTTATATATAACACACTTAATGACAGATAAGGCTCGAAGACGCTTCTTTGACGAACTGCACTCAAATCTTACCACAGACTTTTCTCAAAAACGAGATTATAATAGTTTAAAAAATTACGATTTTAATGATTACAAAAAAGTAATAGGTTCACGGTCATTTTGGAAAAATATTATTAAAACAAAATATTGAGTGAAATGTAACGACGACAAGTGACAGATAAATCTGGCAACATTGCTAGAAGACACTTGAGCGCTGCAAAGGACGCGAATGTTTGAACGAGTTCAAATACTTTCGCGAAATAGCAGAAACCCGTGAACCGTAAACCGAAAAGATGAATGGGGAAAAAGAAAAAGAAAGACGATGCAACGTTGCTAAATTATCATAAGAAATTGTACAAGAAACCATTTTTTTTATTTCGTCATTTTTGACATACTATTTTTGCACAATATCGTGTATTTCACTACATAAAACTACGGATATATCATTAAGATATATTCGTTGTTTTAGTATTATATATTTTATCCAAATTATTTGCAGATATTTATAATTTTGAATGAGGCACTTCAAATTTTCGATACTTTACTAAAGAACCACCTTAATCATAAAAATATTATAATTTAGACACGAATGGAATCATCGGCCATTGCACTACGAGAAGCAAAGGAGAGAAATATGGAAAAGCAGGTTTCCAGTAATGAAAAAAATACGGAGGACGTTGACGACGGTGATGGAGGTGACGATGGCAGTGGCGGCCCAAGAGGTGCGGACAAAAAAGCCAAAAAGATACTCCATAAATCGAGCAAAGAATTCTACAAGGCGATGGCAAAGCAGTGGGGCATAACTTGCAAAATGAGTGATCATTGCAGATGTTTGGATTGCCAGGTATGTTTGTAAAGCTTTATTCTATTAAGTTCAGATAGATTCAAGCTTCGAAAATTCTGATTAAAAAAAGAAAAAAGTAATTTGAATCGAGAGATTAAATCTTACATATATATGTATATCGATGGAACTGGACCTAAAATTGATCACTTTGTCGCTATGTTTGAGCCAAATAATAGGTTACCATTTCTACGCCCACCTATTCATACATATATACCTAATCATATATATGTATATACAGTATGCATTGAATAAGTGAACGTAGACAAGAACTTGTCGACATCACTTTTGTCTGTTTCTATCGCATGTAAAATAATCGAAGTGCGAGTAGTTTAGTTAGAATTTACCATTTGTTGACAAAGTTGACACAAGGGTCCTTCTATCTTTGTTACTTATTGAATGCCAAGAAATATAGATTGATGTTTATATCGATTTGTGTCACCAAATGAAAAGCCTTTCGAAGTCTACGATTGTACCGATACTAAAATATATAATACGTTGAAAAATTCTTTGTTTTCTTTTGCAAGCAAAACTGACAAAGTGAGAGGGAGAAATTGAAATTAGGATGATTGATAGCAGAATTATTTCGTTGACTCGCAATTTTATATTTGAAATTCGGAATAGTTGCAAGCTGTATCACGTCATCATAAAACGCGTTCTGTCGCAGAGCCATTACTTCGACTGTGACTACGAAAAGGACGAGCAAGCGAAGGGCGATGGCGGTCTTAGCGCCGGTACGCCGATGTTCATCTCCGAGGTGATGCATGGCACCGCCTGCGCCCTTCTTTAAATCGCCCCACTCTTCCGGTTCCGCTTCTTCCCTCGACGGGAAAGATGTCTACCTGACTACATACGTAGAAAGACGTCTACCTGATTACACGCACAAAACGGGAATCAGCGCCTAAAGAACGACGGGGGAGCTTCATACATTTATATTCTGTACAAGATACGCGATGTCGGTGAGACGTCTACGTGTATTTCGACGTAAGAGAAAGAAAGAAGCTACTCATGCGCGCGATGAAAATATAAAGGGCATCGTACGTTTGCGGCGTACAAAGATGCGAGATAAATTATTTTCAGATTAGACTACTAAATCTGTGTACACGAGAGCACATCAAAGACAACCGATGTATAATTGCGCTGCTCTTGTGCGAAAAGGGGAAACAAAAAGAAAATTCTTGGTTCCTTTTTGCATAAGAGTTGTTCATTTATCGGACATAAAATAAAATAGGAGGAGATACATTTGAACAGTACACAATTTTGAACAATTTAAATATCATCTTCGGATAAAAGGTTTTCAACATCTTTTGAAAAATTATTTTAAGAACCTAAAGAACACTGAAAATTTTCTATTGCCATATATTTAAACTGTTCAAACATGGCCTAACAGTCAAATGTATCGCCATCTCTTTTACAGACATATTTTTTCAGCATTCGATGTAATATGTGTCATACTACGTTGCAAAGAGCCGCGTCAACTGGCGAAACGTGCAAGGCCACTTTTACGGGTAACATTGCAGAATTTGCGACGCGAGTCGTTTATCCTTATCGCGACTGGCGCTTAAAAATTAAACGTAGAGATCCATGGACGTGCGCTTTATTACTGTCAATTGCATTGCACTCGTTCCGGTTGGAGTTTTACGACAGAGTTAAAAAGACATAAAAAAAACATATAAAACGCCTTAATTCAACGCCGACATTCAATTCTCATTTTTTAAACGTAATTGATTAATTACAAGATTTTCTCATTAATTTCTACACTATATTGAAATTTTTCGCTTTAAGATTTAAAAAAGTACGTAAGGATAATATTTAACCTTCCGGAGCTGACAAAATTTGTAACACAGTTACTAACGCTGGGTTTGTAAGACCCATTTAATTTATGTTAATTGAAAGGCACTAATTGATTTTATGGAGTCAAAATAACATAACTCTTACAAAGAATTAAATACTAAGTATATTTTACAGTTATCGTTTACACTGCTACAAATTCAACTGTTTTAATTCTTGATTTTATTGTGACTTTTTATACATTAATTTGTTGTTACCATCACTATTGTATACACAAATTTTATTTTCAAAGTTTCGGTTTCGCCCTCACATTCTTGGAACTTACATGACCGACCTGCAGCCTTGAAACTCTCTTCAGTGTTTGTCCGGAAAACATGAGATTATCGTATACTGCATATACAATATTACATAATATCGCTGAAGATGATCGAAGCAGAACCGAAACATTCGATCATTCTCTAATTATGTATTACTTTAAATTCAAATTTATAATACACAACTAAATAACTATAATTTACATATTATTTATGTACTCTCATTGCTAATTATTATTCTACATTCTTGTATTTTTAAAGTATATTTTAATAAGAATAATCTCTCTAAATTTGTAGATGTAACATTAAGAACATCGAATTAATTGATATCATTGATAAAGAGATTTATAATTGAGTGAATTCAATGGATTCATCATATACTCCCCGGAGGGTTAAACTTTACTCTTATTTAATGACATATGCTTAAGATATTATGAAGAAAGAGAATCCATACCAGAGCATGAAAAATCTAATAAAATCCGCGTATATGAGCGCAGAGAATCAGTTATTCCATTATTGGATGAGACGCAGGCTTCACATATTCTCCCGTAAAAATTCAAACGATTCAAAGATCGCCTTACGTCGAAATTCTTTTAAACCGGCTTACGCGTTCAAAATACGTTCATGTATTTTCCATTATCCTCATTGTGTGTCCAGCATAACAGTAATTATGTTAACAGTGGTATAAATTGTTTCGTGTCGCGTTAGATCTACATTGAAGGAAAACCAAAACGTAGGTATACGATTTATAACAATCGGCCTATTTCCAATGCCGTTTTTCAACGCGAAATTATTTATCCAGCGTTGGATTTTTCTAGCCTATACATTTTGAACTTTGTAATTTTATTCATCAGTCGTTTTTCGTATTATGTTTACTGTGTCGTATACATATAATATCAAGGTTCTAACTTGTACTACGCAAATGCGCCAAATTATCTTTGAATGTAGATCTAACTATCAGACAAAACAAAGTACTTTGCATATTATTTACGCGTGTCAAAAGGAATTAATGAATAATATACTCTCGCAGGAGGAACTCCAAACTATTGTAAAGTTCTTTTGAAAGGAACGAGTGTTGAGAAGTGCAAAGGCTCCCAGTTTTCTATCTCGGGGAGAAAAATAGTTAAATAACTAACATATGTTAAGAGTAGTGAGAGATTTGCCGTGAAGATACGTTCGAAGAAATCGAAAACTCATGAAACACATGAAAGTATTTTAGATGAGATTGTCGAATCCGTGAACTCGACGACGTTAATCGTGGACCCTTGGAGGGCAAAGTAGTGAGACAGTAATCGAGAAGAATTCCAGCGAAACATAACACACAGTACCTGCCTACACTTGTTTTTACAAGAATCATTTCTTTTGTATCTTACAACGCGAAAGGAAGACAACTGTACGCAGACTACACGATATTGCCGTACTTCCTTTTATACAGAACATCCTCAAAATACTTGTACTTCGTATCGAATCTTAAAATCATACGAAATCTTCTAAAGAGATCCTGTTATTTTTTAAGTTTCACAACTTGAAGAAATAATAAAATGCTACAAATTCTTAATTCTATTATTTAGCAATGTTGTACAGATTATTTATTCTTTACAATTAGTTTTAGATAAAATAAATTAGTTATGAATTAAATTAAGAAGTGTTGGGTCTAAAAAAGTATTTAAAAAATTTCAATTTTTTATTTTTATTATATTCTTTTTTATAATATGTTTCCTATTGAAATGTATAATACTTTATTCTTTCTATTTAAATTACATTTTAACTCCTGATTATCTTTTTATTTTTCTTCTTCTATCTACTTAAATTTTCTTTCTTACTTACTATCTCAGGAAATAAATATTTCCTCTTAATTCCAAATAATCGCACATTTTACAGCTGTGAATTTTGTTTCTCTTCTAATCTATATAAATCATCCTTCTAGTTATTAAATGAATTTCCCTCGTCGATATAATTTGTTATGTGTGTTTCTACGAGAATATACTCGTCTTAAAAATAAAAATCAAATTTACGCGATGTTTGCGTGAATAATTTTCTAATACAAACGTAAATAATTTTCTGACGAGCCATTTCTTCATTCGGAAAGTTGGAATGCGAACGTCATCGGGCATTCGTATATAATTATATGTTGTACATCGTTCGTCTGCCCGTTTATAATATAGTATACGTATCTCTTGTGTGTCTGTGTGTGTATATACAATACAGAGGCAAATTAGAAAATAATAAATGAAGATTATATGTACTATCTCTGGGATATGTACAAGAGGAATATTAATGAATCGATTAGATCGCGAGGAAGAACTGCGACGTGACTGTTTAGCGTTATAGCGTTACAATCGGTGCTTCCGATTAGCCTTATTATTACAAAGTTATATTCACTCGCTCCTTGTCGAGTAAAATATGTTGCATGGACGAATCACTAATTACTCTTTTGATTTTAACAGTTATCTCGTTTCTATTTTATAAATATACTCTAAGGTACGATGAATGAAAGAACGTCGTTGATCATTTAAAGCATTAAAAGAATGACGAAAAATGAAAAAATAATAAATGAATTGTTCGAATTTCATTTACAAATTAGCCTCTGATCACTTCGGAATTTATTTTTATTGAGCAAGAACTTTTGCAAGTGGGTTATTTACATTGATTTTTCTCTCTCTCTTAATTTGTAGCATAAAATATTTTGGCAATGCTAATCAGTTAAGAGTCGCTACACGATACCTTTGTGTAATTCTCAGTACTGCATCTACCGTGTCTGTAAATATTTCAAAGTGTCAGAGACAGCAAATCCACCTAAGACAAATATTTATGTAATCGCCGATATTCAATCACTGCACGCGATAGACATCGCTCATGGGTCTAGTTGGAGAAAAGCGCATTTATTGCGTATCGGACCACTCTAATGAGCTGAACTCTATAAAACTCGTACTGACAATTAGATTCAGTTACGACAGATCGGAATACAGTTAGCCTGCAGGAAAATATGTCAGCAATCGACGTCGTACGTTAGAATATTAGATCCCGTCAATTAGCCACACATATTTTTCGGACAGCTCTCCAGAAACAAATATCGGGAAAAATAGACGGGGGAGACGAAAAGTCAATTGGTTTGTAAAGGAAGTGTAATTTGTTTAGCAAATGTATTTCTCATTCAGCGGAATACGTCGTGAAACTGTTTCTCGTATTAAATCAGCGCTTTGCAGCCTAAGTAAAACGACATTATAAGATCTAGTCGACGTGTGTCAATACAAAATAACTATTCTGTGTATGTATGAAGTGTATAGAGAAAATGTGTAATACGGCAGAAATTGTTGTATAGAAAATATTGAATGTAAAACTTGATGTATTCTAACAAACAGCACCAATAAACAGGGCCTAAACGGTAAGCGGTATCTTGTTGCGCGTTATTTCCAGGTTTAGCGTAACAATCAACCTTCTCTATATAGAAATATAAGCATATCCCACGCTAATAAAAACGAAAGTAAAAAGTTGTCGAATGGAAAATTCCAACGTTTTACTAGAAATGCTTTTTAAGTTTATTTCCACACAAACAGAATTATGGTTAATTTCTTCTCATTGCGATAAATGAAAATATGCTGTCACCTGTCGATGAGAAACTCTTTGCCGCCATGTATGTTCAGAGCTCGAAATCCAGAAAATATTTTGCATTTGAGAGAATTTGTTAAAAT